AGAGAGTTCCGAGGCAACAGGAGCGGCAGTGGAGCTGCCTGCCGGCGAGGGGGGGGGGAAGGCAGCGCAGCACTGCATGTCCTTCATGGGCAGAAGGTGACGGTCTGGAAACCCACTGGAATGAGAGCACGGGCTGTTCTGGAGTTGGTGTGTTGGGGTCCCTGCCCCCCCCGAAGAGAAACCCACTTCTGTTTGTTAAGAAATTGAGCACTTGAGAAATAACCTTTGCAGCAAAAAGCTGCCGTGATGTAGCTGGAACGTGGCTGTGAGGCAGGAGGACATCACAGGAAGAGACATCGGCTGCAGTCTGGGTGGTGCACGGCCTCTATTCCAGCGCTGGGCTCCTTGCTCCGTCCTCCACCGCAATTACGACCTGGCTGTCCCTCCGCTGTGTCAATCTTCTCTTGCCCAATCAACTCGAATAACCAGTTACAAACCTGATGAGGCACTTGCTAAGAGCTCTGTAATCCTGCCAGCTCCCTGTCTGCTCCTCCTTCTGCCCTGGAAAGAGCAGGACGGGGGTTCACACCTACCTCGTTAGGCCCTGGTTATTCTCTGGAGGAGCCTGCGCTGGCTGTGCTTAGGAACGGCAGATCGCCACGTCTGAAGCACAGCAGCCCAGCTTGCGCGTGTGTGCAGCACCTGGCACAGTCAGAGGGTGGGGAGCCTGAGCAGGGTGCGTGCCTCAGTGCTTCTGCAAGCGTGTATGAAACAACGGACTCGCACGGGAAATGCCGATAAGGGCAAGGATTGCGTCTCTACAGGGGCAGCCCCGTGAAGGAAGCACGCCGTAACGATGCGGAACAGCCCAGGTTCACTTTTTTGTCCCCGAGAGCCACGTGGTTTATAGCACAGCCTGAAGCTGGAACCAGGTGCCACGAGCAGAAAGCAGTTGTTTATTAAGAAATTTTTATCTGTATCTGCAGTTGTTCAGGTCTTCCACTCCGCTACGTCCCTCTGCCGGAGGAGTGGACTCCTCCTAGCACTCTGCCCCTCTGCTAACGCCGACGGGCCAGCTCACAGGCTTCGCGGCGCAGAGCTGCGGAGGGAAGCCTTATGCTGGGGAGGACCCCACTGTCTGTCCAGAGGGCTTTGTTGTGCTGCGGGACTCCGGCATCACCCAGCCGCTGGCCAGGAGACCTGCGCCTCCAGGAGCGTCCACACGGCCCTGCAAGGCTTCGCTAGAAAAGGGGGGAAGAACGCGCTCGGCAAAGCTCACGCCGGATTTGACAGCACAAAATTAAATGCGGGCTAAATTAAATTCGGTCACTGCAGAAAGCCAGGGAGTTAGCACAGCCCAGGCCACCTTTGCTCCGCACACTGCTGTGACATGAAGTCCTTGTCTAGACAAGGGTACGGGTATCACAGAACCACAGAATGTTCGGGCTTGGCAGGGACCTCTGTGGGTCACCCAGCCCAACCCCCTGCCGAAGCAGGGTCA